AAAGACCCCCAGATGGCAGGTGGAGATGGGACCACGGTCTCTCTACCGGCCCTACAAGGATGCTGGGCGGTCAGCCCAGATCCCCATCGGCAGTATACGTTCAGGGAGAGGAACCTGCTACTCCCTCTTCCCAGCGGCAGCTTATTTCCCAAAGGGGAGACTCTATTCTCCCAGATGACACAGACGGGGCCGTGACCTCTGTGCCTGAACCACAGGGATGTGGGACAGCCTGTCCGGATTCCCAGCAGCAGGACCATTTATTGGAAGGGGAGACAGTCGGTCTCCACCTCCCACCACAGCACCAGTTCCAGGGAAAGGAACATACTACCCCCTCTGCCCAGCTGAGCATCAACCAGGCTACTCCAGCTGAAGCGCTGACACCAGGACAGAGTACAGCTGGTCTCTACCCACCCATCAACCCACAGGTTTGGAGTACCCATAAGCAACCCAGCCTTGGTGGACTCCCTGGACAGAGACAGGCTACAAAGTTGCCCAGGTGCAGTAACCAATTCTTGTGGGTGGGCCACTCTGTTGATTATGTGTTGTGGGTGGGTTGCTGGACAAACCAAGGCACTGACCGACAGGAGGTCAGATACCCTGTTAGTCTGGTTGGTAAAGGGGAGAAATGTGGCGGAACCAACCTCGCCATTGGCAAAGCCTGGTTGCCCGCCAGCTGCCTTTGGACTATGGCACCTCATTAAAAACCTTTTATTTTCCCTGCAGAAAGGCTTATTCGTGCCTTTCTGTCTGGGCGTTTGGTAGATTGGATCTACTGAACAAACAACCGCACGACCGACCACCTGGGAATGGTTTGTGCAGTCAATTGACCTCCCAGAAGCTACGGTTAACCGCAGCTTAATTGACGAACGCTGGGTGGCCGCTGTTCGCATAGACAACACGTGGTGGCGGCCATCTTAATCTCCCAAACGGCCAGCCATGTTCAGTTCCAAACAGTGGAACTCAAAACGGACACTTATTTGCGCGAACACCGCTGAGCCGCCGGCATCCCTGCTTCTGCCTTTGGTCGTCTAACCGAACGTCGGTTCATTTGGGACTTTCATTATGTGATTAGTGCTACCCCAGATAGCTATGCCATGGAGCCCATTTATATAACAAAAGACTATGGGAAAGACTTTGGCTCCATGGTGATTGAACTGTATGTATGTGATCTGAGCGCCATTCGGTAATAATGTGCGTTCAGATCTGAGCTATCTGGGGATAGGTAGAATGTATGTGTTGTATTCAGTATTGGTAACAGTATGTATTTTTATGTCTTTTTATTAAAACGTGTGTAATGGAGTTTTGCCTCTGTCCTGGGAGATAATTGGATTAAATGTGTAAGCTTGTGATTGGTCAATGTCCACTATGTATCCCAGTCTTCCATCTGGTCTCCTAGTGGAGTGTCCACCAGGTGGAAGACCTGCATAAAAGCCGGGCAGGTAGCCCTAGTAAATCAATTCTGCTTGACCCTCAAACGAAGTGTCGTCTTGTTCTTGGGGGGAATTGGAGTGTATGCTGTTACAGTGCGACTGCCAGGAGTGAAAACTGTTTGTATGGTTTTTCCTGTTCGGCTGTTTGCAGCATTTGTGTGTTTCCTGTTCGGGAGTTGGAGGATTCGTGTGTTTCCTGTTCAGGAGTTGGAGGATTCGTGTGTTTCCTGTTCAGGAGTTGGAGGATTCGTGTGTTTACAGTTCTGGAGATCGGTGATTGCAGTAGCTGCTCGTTTATCTGGAAGGGGAATATCACCTAAACGGATTTTAACCCCTTGTGTGCCTGGGGGATCCGTTACAATTTTATTTTGAGTAGACACTAGAGCACAGAGGAATCCTGCGTCCCTTTTTAAATTTTTTTTATAAACTTGGAAAAAAATGGAAGAGTATAGCTGTTCATTTACAACTATATCAAGGGTCAGCCCCTTTAGAGAAATCGTATCCTTTCATGTTTATGATAGGCATTAGGAAGTGAGTCTTGTATCTCTTCTAAGACATTTCCTGCATCCCTTTTTATGCTTGGCTTGTTAAAGGAACACTATAGGGTCAGGAAAAACAAACATGTATTTAGGTGGCTTGCCCTCCCTTAGCCCCCCTATAAAAGGTTAAAACTCTCCTTTTTTCCAGCGCTGCGCGGATCCGGTGGTGTTGGTTCCGCTCCCTTTGTGACATCATCAAAATGGCTGATTTTTAGCCAATCCAATGCTTTCCCATAGGGATTGGCTAAAATCGGCACAGGGGTGAGGCCAAATGCTGTTTTGGCCAATCAGGACCTCATCATAAAGATGCATTGAATCAATGTATCTCTATGAGGAAAATTCAGCGTCTCCACGCAGAGCGTGGGGATGCTGAACGTCAGGGCTGCTTTTTCGTCAGCACTGACCCAGGAAGCATCTCCAGTGGCCATCTAAGGAGTGGCCACTTGGAGGTGTCCCTAGAGGCAATGCAAACACTGCCTTTTCTCTGAAAGGAACTAATATACTCACCAGAACAACTACATTAAGCTGTAGTTCTTCTGGTGACTAGAGTGTCTCTTTAAATTAATTTTGACCGAGTTAATTCAGGTGGCATAAAGTGGATCCCTATATGTTTTACCCTTCTCACTAAAATATTTAAGGCTTCTGTACTTCCAAATCATAGCCACATCACTCTGCTAATCTCTGATCTTTCCTGCTTTGCACTCTTATCGTTATCTTGCAAGCAATATGAGGATGTGGACAATACACAAAACTATATTACAGCTTTGTTGAGCAGCCTACAGTATGTGAAAGCATGGTGTTCTCATATATTTTAAATGTGTTTAGTTTATAATAAATGATTGTTTAATACAAAGACACAGTAATATCTGGCAACGAACCTGCAGATAACTTATGGAAAATGGCTCCTTCCACCATACTTATTTTACACCAGCAAGATGTGCTTGTGTGTTTGCTTTTTATTTATGTTGGTAAATATTTGTAACGTGTGTTGCGGTTTCTTTTTTTCTGTACTATGCTACGACTATGTGGTTAACCTTTTATGTAAAGGGACACTCTTAGCAACAGTATCATTGCAGCTTGATATAGTGGTTCTGATGTAAAGAGATGATTCCGGCAGGCTTTCAATTGTAAACACTGCCTTTTCTGAGAAATTGCAAGAATACCTCTAGTGGCTATCACTCAGAGAGCCAGTAAAAGCACTTCCTGTTACAGTCCTGCAATCTTTGCAGGACTGACTTCGGCTTCTTCATACTCCATAGTATCCCCCAATTCTTCTCTATGGGGAAGCTTTGTACTGGCTGGGATTGTCAGTAGTGATGATCTCAGTCGGGGAGGAATGGTGACCATAGTAAGACCGGTGCTGTGAGGGACTACTGGTAAGAAAAAAATATTTAAATATTTGTGAGGGTCTTAATATAAATTGCCTCTAGATCACTCTTATGTTAGAAAAACAGGTTTATATATTGAACGTTAGAGTGTTCCTACAACCTGTAATAGTCAGGCATGGCTGGTCAACAATCCAGAGAAGCAACTTCAGCTAGCTGGTAAGTTCTTCAACTGTAACAGCCACAGTTTGAACCCTTTGACTTTGCTGACCACAATCTAATGGTAATTAGGGAACTAAAAGTAGACAGGACAGGCTGGGATAATGCAGAACTGGGTTTGCCCCGTTTTATGAAGCGATGCATACGCATAAAGGTCATAACGTAAATTATATCAAAAGCGTCAGTTTCAACGGCCCCTCAAGTTTTGGGTTCGTGGCTACACACCTAATAAACTGCAGTAATAATAGGTTGCTGGGGATAGGTTCTATTCCTTGTTGTGGTTCTCTGTTGGTCCCAATAACGTGTTTATATAGTATATTACTGTCTTTTATGGTTTTGACTCAGCTTTTACTGACTATTCTACTTTCTGATGTTCTTGGCTAGGCTTTTGACTTGGGATGACTTTTGTCTCTTGTTTTGCCAATTCCTGGCCCCCTCATATCTGGCTTGTTTATGACTATTGTCTGTCTGTTTTCATATATACCATTTTGGGGTTTGCACTGCAAATTAGGATGTATTATATCATGACAGTGTGACCCCTTTTTAAATTTTACATAAAGTGCAGATTTCAATGGAAATATAAATATAATATAAATAATATAAATTAACCTTGTTACTCCCCACCCGCATTGAAGCAAACCACAGCAGACGACACCAACTGTTACTTTATGTGTGTTTTGCTCAATGTGCAATTGCCCAGAGCACCTGCCTTGCAAAGACTTCTCACTGAGCTGCATTGGGAAGTCTGTGATTGGACAGTCACAGAAGAAGTGGAGGGCTTGCAAAGAATTCATAGAGAGCTCTGCAACTTTTGCAAACTGTTTTTATATGTATCCCCCAATGGGAAAGGGAATAATTTAAATGGTGAAGTAATTTTATTTATTTATATATTTTTGGGCAGTGGAGTGTCATTTTAAGAAATAACTTGCTCCAGTTTCTCCGCTTCCATTAATTGTTTAGCCCCTTAAGGAGTGCTAGGCCATCCTTGGGGACCCAGCTCTAAACGCCGGCGGGGGGGGGGGCATAGTACGTCCCCGCCGTCCAGGGGACTTACCGGCTCGCTTGCGATCCCCCGACGGCGATTGCGACCCCCGATGGTGATTGCGATGGGGGCAGTCTCCTTGCGTTTGATCTGGCCCTCCGGGGCCATGTGATCGCGAGGTCCTTATATAGATCTCAAAATACACTTAGAACGAAATAATATATATATAGCCGAACCTATATTTAAATAAAAATAATTTTAAAATTTTTATATATATATATATATATATATATATATATATTTTTTTTTAATTCTACGTATATATATATATGTAATATGTTTACATAATTAAGTCATTTTATTAATTACAATTTGCGGGACCTGCCTGATAACCCAGGCAGAAAATCCAGAAAATTTAATTTGCTAGCACTATATATTTCACTATAGAGGGCAGAAGAACCAGAAGAAATACAAACTTCAACTCCAAACCCCCTATGAAAAAGCGATGACACCTGTATATAATCTGTCAAACAAAGAGTTTAATCCATACCATTTATCAGTTCTCAATAAGGGACGCACATTTATTCTGGTGTGCAAACCAGACCCTTTCCAAGTTGAAATAGAAATGTATAAACTCAAGAGAATTTTATATACTAATGAAATCAGAAAGAATACTATTAAGAAGCCACAGGATCATCAGTTTGTATCTAGAAGCAAGAAGGAGATTTACAGCAATAACAGCTTGATAAAATCTTTCACGCAGGCGGTGCATAAAGACGCATTACAACTCTCCAAAAGACCACCCAAACACAGATACAATCTATTGAAAGAAGAAAAATCAGCATTGGTTGACCTAATGCGAAATCCTTCGATTGTCATCCGGCCGACTGACAAAGGTGGTGCAATAGTGATTCAGACATATACAAAATATAAATTTGAGATCCTCAGTCAGCTGAACGATGAATAAACATACCGCAGATTAACGTTTGATCCAGTACACAAATTCAAAAAAATTATAGGTGATCATATCGACTTTGGACTACAATCTGGATATTTAGACCAAAACACAGCTACTTACTTACATGTACCTCATCCTAAACATCTGGTGCTTTACACACTCCCGAAATTACATAAAGATTCTGTGAACCCACAGGGCAGACCTATCGTGTCCGCAAAAGAAGGCATCATCGAACCAATCGCACAATATGTAGATCACTACATTAAGAGTCTTGTGAAAGAACTTCCGACTTGTTTGAAAGATACACCTGCATTTTTAGAACACATCCATCTACCAGATGATAGTGACACCCTGCCTGACTATAGGCACTGATGATGGCTATATATATATATATATATATAAACGTTTTTCTTTTAGTACAATAATATTCATTAGCCTTCTAAGGTGTTCTAGCTTTCTATTAGCTCTATTATTAATTAGACCAAATTATCTTGTACCATATTATATTTGGTTGCTCTTTTTTTGAGAAATTACTTCTCATAATTTTTTTTCTGTTAATAATGGTGCTAGTTAACTAATTTATTTTTTCTAGTCAATGAATTGTGACTATTACTGTTGCTTAGATTGATCTGCTGACTCTATAAATGTACTGTATAATATATACTCAAGATACTATTAGTAATGTATTTAGATCTTGTTTGGTTCTTTTTGAGTACTATCAGCTTCAGCAGACTTCTGCAATATAAGGTTTTATTTTGTTAAATGCATTCTTTATTCTTGGTCCTAGTGGGACATCTCTATTTGGTGATATTGACTTTCTGCCTATCACACATCACTCACCCATTTACTGTTTGGCTTCAAATTCTATCACAGTATAGACTTACACTGGCAGTTTTCTACACCTCTTATTTTGCCCACTGTTCTATGTAATGTTTGTGTAATCTTTGTGGTTTTTATACATATATACACTCCACCATCTAGACACTGTTGTGTCTGTTTATATACATATCCCGGACCTGGTATTCTGTTTATTTTCACTTTTATCACAGCGGCATTTGGTCGCTTAGCAACCACATTTTTCTTCAGCGGTGCGTCAGAACGTGATGACGTCACCGCGGCTTCCAGCACTTCCAGGTTAGTCGTGGTTTGCAGGTGATGGGTTCACACGATCTCCTCTCACATCATTGGTAAGTTGTTTTATTGTTATATGTATATATTGTCACTTGTTTGTATGTGCCGTGATCTTAAAAAAGACCCTTAGGGGTCGAAACGTCGACTTTGTTCACGGATGTATTGAAGATTTTTTCACTTGCATAAACCAGTTTCCACCTTATCCAAGACCTGTGAGTGCACCCCTGACTTTATGTAGATATATATATATATATATATATATATATATATATATATACATACACACACACACACACACACACACATATATATATATATATATATATATTAATTCTACATATATATGTAATATGTTTACATAATTAAGTCATTTTATTAATTACAATTTGCGGGACCTGGAAGGAAATCCAGAAAATTTTATTTGCTAGCACTATATTTAACCCTGTAACTTTCCAAGACACCATAAAACCTGTACATGAGGGGTACTGTAATACATAGGAGACTTCGCTAAACACAAATATTAGCGTTTCAAAACCGAAAAACATATCACAACAATTATATAGTCAGTGCAAATGCCGTTTGGGTGTGAAAAATGCAAAAAACCTGCATTTAATGATGATATCATTGTAATACATTTTATTCTTTTGAAACACTAATATTTGTGTTTTCAGCAAAGTCTTACTCGGGAGAGTCTGTTTTACTCAGGAGACTTTGCTGAACACAAATATTTGGCGTTCCAATTAGTTTTTTGTATTTTTCACACACAAACAAATTAACGCTAACTTTGGCCAGTGTATTAATGAATTAATGCTATATTTGAATCTGTAATTACCCAAAACACCATAAAACCTGTACAATCCATAAAACCTATAAACCGGTACTGTTTTACACGCGGGACATCGCTGAATAGAAATATGTGTATTTTATTGCCGTAAAAGCCAACAGTATTATGACATTCACAGTTAAAATGTCTCATAGAAAATAACAATTTCTTAATTTCTCACATTTTTTAAAATATTTTATTCATATTAAATTACGTTTCATAGTTAAATATTTGATGTTAAATGAAAACCCTATTTCACCTGAATAAAATGATGTATAATAAGTGTGGGTGAACTTAATATGAAAGCCGTGGGGCAGCATAACACGTTCCCGCTGTCCTATTTACTTACCTGGTCGATCGCGGTGGGGGGGCTTACCTGGCCTCTCAGGGAGTCCCCCTGCTTCCTTTCTGGACCCCCTGGGCCATGTGATCGCGAGGTATGTGTGGATGCACATAATATGAAAGAGGTGAATTACACCCGAACAAACATATAGTGCAAATTCAAGTTTTTGTTTACATTTTGTTTTGATCACAACGTGTACATTTGGCGCAGTCCTTAAGGGGTTAAGGGCAAAAAAGGAAAATATTTATAATGATGGCTAAGAGGAAGCCAAGATGGAGGCACCTTGTTGCAGGATAAAAAGATATTGATTTCTACATTCATTTTTATTTTTCATACCTCAGAAAAATATATTAGCATTCATAGCGGACAAGTATACAAGAATATTAAATACTTTGGGGGATGACAGTATCCTTTTAACTTTAACCTTAAATTATATTATGACATAAACCTATTAAGCACAACATCATAGAGCAAAAAGCATACAACGAGAAAAACAAACATATTTTTGGATCAATGGGCCTGTGCCAAATGCATGGGCCAGTAGCTCCATTAGCCCCCATGTTATCCCGCATGTAATTATAACGTTTCACTTTCAATGATTGGAACAGTTTAAAACAGAAATCAGTGTAATGTAGTTGCAACAGATCAATTATAAGTAGACACGGAAGAGTAATGGTCTTGTAGACGGTGGTAATGGGGAGAGGTGAAGGTCATGCTCATCTTGAGAGATATAATCAGCCATCCAGAACATTTCCTTCCTTGCTTTGAACTGTAGTTCAAAGTAAAAGTAAGTGCTTCTCATAGAGAATCACTGGATTCAAAGCTTCTTTATGTTAAAGGTATAGATTTCAATATAAATTGGCACTGTTATAAATTAACCATGTTTCAACCCCTGGCTTTTGATCACACAACTGTTTGGTTAGCTCAGTGAAGCTAAACTCAAGAGGCAGACAATTACCAAGAGTATCTGCCTTGCAAAGACTTTTCATTGAGAAGTCTCTGATTGGACAGTCACAGAAAGTCTGGGCGATGTTAGAAAGGGAGGACTTGCAGACAAGAGAACAGCAACTTTTGCAAGCTGTTTATATATATGTACCCCCAATGAAAAAATACATAATTAAATGTACTCATGTTTTCACTGGGGTATATCTACTAAAATGTGATTATTATATTAATTATAAAATAATAATATATACACACACTTATTTGTTTATTTTTAATTGAAGTGTTTAAGTATTAAAAGGGCCATGCTGGGGGTTATCATTTTTATAACTTTATTAAATGATGCTGTTACAGTATTTAGCCAGACTTTCTGGCACTTTTACGTATTTTTTTTTTCTATACCATTCTCCTGTAACTTAGACCTCTCACTACAACTGTGAATCAATATACACAAAGCACTCCCATAGATCACAGTTCATTGGGAAGAGTAGTCCAACAAGTTCAAACTTCTTATATTACAAGTTAAGGATATCTTAACTTCCCAGATGGGAAAAGTCGGCACGCTCCAATGCAAATGACAGCGTGCCTGCTTACTTAGTGGCTTTTTAACCTTTTTCTGATCATGTATTAACAAAAGACGCAATTTAGATGACGAAAAAGTGTTTTTCATATTCATAATTTGGTATCAATATGCAAATACATTTTAAATTCTCAACGAATAAAGCTAAATATTTTGTACATGGAACCCTGTGGGCAATAGAGAGTGTATTGATAGTATGTTAAATGGGGAGGTAACTATTATCAGATCAGCGGGTACTGTTACAGAGATTGGCTTAAAGTGGCAGATAAGGGATAGGAAACTTTTCCACATTATATAAAGGAGAGCAGGTAACAAGAAAGTGTGAAAAAACTATACATTAAAAATTCATTACTACTTTTTTAGATGTATTTGAACTCACTGGCTGATCTCACATTAAAAAGATTTTTTTTTTTCCCCATTTGCATTTTTTTCAGTAAGTGTATGAGTAGTGTGGTCATGCAGAGCTGACTTGTCGTGAGCAAGCATCTTCACCGGAAGCGATAGATTTAAGCAAAGGAGGTTGGCCCAAAGAAAGTGAGGTAGCTCATCTGCAGGAACAGAGTCTGCCACTCCACGGATTTTAATATTATTCGGTCACCCCTTGTCCTCTAGTGCCTCCATTCTGATGGCAAGCTGCAAATGTAGTTTTTGCAGTTGATGCATGGATTCTCCCTGTGTGGTCATACCCTGCTTCACCTCTATAATGTCTTCTTCTGTAGCTTGAAGTCTGTCAGTCACGGCCTGTACCTCCAATTTTACCATATTCAGTTCAGCTGAGAACATGTCTTGGAAGTGTTCCAATAGGCCATGCTGTTGCCTCGGCTCTAGGTAAGGCTGTGACAGCCTCCCTGGAGGTTTCCTCTGTAGGTGGTTTGCGTGCTGTCTGAGGCAGCGGAGGTGTAAACCCTCAGGCTCGAGAAATGTAGGCCAGCATCTGGCTTATGTCCTGGATGCTGTTCGTCTGGGCCGGAGCCGGTTTCTGTGACTTGCATCTCATAATTGCACCCAGCCCGGTTGGAGAGCAGTATAGAGGAGATACGGCTGTGTCCGAGCCGTCACTTGCCCAGAGGTTGGCACTGGGTAATCGCCCATCCCACATGGTTGGCCTGAGGTCCTCGGCGCAGTGTTTTCACTCCCGCAGTGACCTGGAACGGCATCCACTGAATCCGCCCAGTTTCCTGCGCTGGAAA